GATCCCTGAAGAGCTTGTATCAGACAACATGCCATACAACAGCAAGGAATTCAAACACTTTGCAAGTGACTGGGGATTCAAACTCACCACCTCAAGTCCCACTTATCCTCAAGCGAATGGTGTCAGTGAGAAAGCTGTACAGACCATCAAGCGAATTCTTAAGAAGACAAGTACATTGGCCATACATTGGCCTTTTGGAGTTCAGAAACACCCCAGTGACAGGAATGACGTACTCCCCATCACAGCTCCTCATGAGTCGCGTCACTAAAACAAAAATCCCAGTAATAACAGAGCTGCTACAACCAAAGTTGGTTACCGAGGTCTACCAGCAACTGAAAGCCTGCCAACAGTGACAAGTACATCACTACAATCAAGGCACAAAGCCACTCACAACTTTGGAACTGCAGGAAGTTGTCCGTCTGCGACAAGGAAAAACCTGGACCCCAGCCATAGTGGACGCGAAAGCAGAAACACCGCGGCCCTACTTAGTCACAACTGCGACTGGACAACAATATCACTGAAACCGTAAGGATCTCTTGCAGACTGGAGACCCCCCTCCTAACCTATCAGTGCCCTAGGACAATGACCATCACATGACAGAAACCGATACAGAAACTCAGACCATACACTAATGAACAGCCTCATGCAACAGTATTTTCCAACAAGTCTCCAACTCCTCCTACTAGACGCACTTCCAGTAGAACCAAAACCCTTCCCGCTAAATTTAAGGACTATGCCATGAATTTTCTAAACATTGAACCATGTGCCATTGAACTATATGTCATTGCGTTTTACCGAATTTGTCGTTCCTTGTTGTCTAACTCGCTCATCATTACAGATCATTACAGTTTTTAGATTTTGTGAAAATGTTTTGTTTTATTCTCAAAAAGGGAGATGTAATAATATTACCATATCGTATTTGATTGACGTGTAATTTTATATACGGACATAAGTATACGAACCACCCTCTTGTAAGATTCGCAACTAGATTAATAAATCCTTGAGCTGGTCAACACATACAGTTTAGTCGTTGCCGTTCTTTCTTAAACCAAGTTTATTACAATGGCTGAGAGAACGAGGTATATAACTTATGCTCAAGAAGCAAAAAAAGCACTGCAGATGTGTTACATCTGCAGCGCTCATCTCACTTCTTGAGCTTAGTGAAAGGGACGTTAGCAAAACGACTCGCAGGCAAAACAACTGGTCACTCTTGTTACAGTTATAGTAAAGAAATTAGACAACATTTTCTTATAAAAATGTCTGCTTTAGTCTTCACATCGAAAAAACATGTGTCCATGACTTTTTTTGAGAGCTTGCTTATATGTAATGAAAATACCCAATTAAAACGGACACTAAATGCCATGACCCATTGGTATCTATTGCCCGGACGTCTTGCGACCACTGCTAATTAAAGAACACACTGAGTTAGCAGGACATTGTTATGAATAGTGTAAAAATAATAACTCATCATAGTTACATGAGCTGAGGCACCCTTATTTTAAGTTTATTACAAAGTTTGTCATGAGTACATGCGTCGCCAAAAACAACGACGCAAACAAGCTTCATTCAACTCCCGTTCAACTTCATTCACTGGAGATTAATTATTGTAAACAGGTGCTCTAGCTAAAATACAGAATTAAAAACATTGTAACTGGCTAGTTCCTCGCCAAATTCATTGCCTCTCCTACACTAATCTCTTACCTGAAATCGATAAACAATGCTGGCATAATCAAGTATCATATACCATCCATTTATTAGCCCTATTCTTCCAAGAAGTGGAAATATGATGGACAGAGAAAACCACCACCGAGTCACAATAGGTATGCTCCGAAACCAAATTCCCAGCTCGTTTTCTGCCATATTCCCGGATACAAAGGAGAGCTACGGGACGTTAAAAATGTACCTTTCACACGTAAAATGAAAAATACCCGGTATATAAAAAAAATCTTTTTACATTTTTGACAACAGACTCAAACGTGGCGAACAATCACCGGCGGCTCAGAACACAACGCATGTGACGCATTGGTACCTGGGATACTGGTGTAATCGTTCCCAGGCTACAAACGGGAACTTATTTTTTCGCGAGGTCAGTTTTCTGATCTGATTTATTTCCAGGGAGGCAAAATACAGTATCTAAAACCATTCCTTCATTCTCAGCTTCATTTCGTTTTTCAAAAAGTCTGAAAGTATTAAGAGCGGATGTCTGTAAATATCGACCAGAGGGGGGAAAAATAAAATTTTTGAAAAATCTCAAAAAAATTATGTAGACTACCCTAGGTATTCTAGTTATGAAAATATAAATTTTAGTTTCATTGGATAAATATTTTGGCGATACGGCGAATGCCAATTTCGGGCGATTGACGGCCTCCTCCAGACCGCTTTTTCGGGCCTCTAGACCGGGCTACAAAAAGACCACGATTTCAATCGAATTCAAATATCATTCAACCCGAAAAGTTTCTTAACGTATTAAACGGGTTTTAATACACATTTTGAGTGGTTATATTCTCGAATTGATTGCAACTGGAATATTTTATGAATTTTTAAATATTTACAAAATTTTAAAGATTTTACGCGAGCAAAATATTGTCAAATTTCAAAGGCTTAAAATCACATCCGATACATGATTTTAAACAGAAAAAGACATTCCACATTAAAAAGCAATCTCTAAGCTTTCAAAATATGCTTTCAAAACTCTGGGCAACATATGAAATGAATTTTTGGGAACGCAAAGTTTACGGAGCATTTAAGTGTAATTTGACCTTTCTGACTTGACAGATAAGAGGTTTGGCACGACAAAAATCAATCCTCCAACCAATGTTGCAGCCAAAATACGTTTAATTTAAGCAATCTCAAGTCCCACAGTGATACATAGATGTTTTATATACATTAGGTGGAAAGTTTCATGCCATTTTTTCAGCCGTGATTGAAGAACTGTTATCCTGGCCTTCAGGATTTGAACTCGCCTCGCCAATGTAAACATTTGGGTCAATGCAAGTTCTTATCACGAAACAGCAAAGTTTCCAAAATCTACACCAAATATATATCTATCCTTTCTAGTATATAATCAGGTCTACAATTTGTTTGTTTGTACCTTGTGTCCTTGTTTGACTTCATTTCTGCAATGAAACTGAGACAAACCACAGCAAAATTCCCGCTCGCTCGACCTGTCACGTGTTACATGAAAGAGCCGTTTTAGACTCGATTGCGTTACGTAGCCTGCGTAGCAGGCGTCGAAAGGGATAGGGGGTAGGGGATAGGGAGGAAGGGAAAAAGGGGAGGGGGATTGGGGAGAGGGGGAAGGGACGCCTGCTGTAAGAACCCCCTTTTGTTCATATCTGCGGACGCTGGCGTCCGCAAATTCCTGATTGGCTGAGCCGTAATGAGTAACATGAAATTGAAATGCGCGTTTCACAAATCAACAAACAGTCGAGATGGCTGCGGTAGACGTGGATGTCGTAGAGAGTGCTTTGAGAGATGTGAATTTATCTAGTGGTAGAGAAACTGTTTTAAAACCAGAGCAAGAATCAGGAGTAAGGGCTCTTTTAGCCGACAGAGATGTTCTGGCGGTTTTGCGGACCGGATACGGCAAGAGGTTAATTTACCAAATGTTTGTACGCGCGAAGAACTACTAGCTAAATGGTAATGCGGCGATTCTCGTCATTTCGCCACTGAAAAGTATTATGGAAGACCAGTTGCAGGAGATGGAATTGTTGGACTACCCAGCGAAAGATTTAGCCAATTTATCGAACGATGACATTCGCCGATGTAACTTAGCAATAAAAGAGGGTGGTTTTACCTCCTGCCAAAATGCTGCTTATTCCTAGAAAGTTGTTTTTATCTGCTGGGTAGATTATGCTCTAGAAGGTTCTGCATTTATACTGAGCAAATGTTATTTTAGCCGCATGTTTCACACTGAGAGGTCATGACATACATATCGATTGACTGTAGTTATTGTTTTCTGGTCGGCAGGATTTGCCCTCTGATGTAAGCGCAATTTCTTTGACCTCTTTTGAAGCGTAAAGCTTTTTTTATTACGGCTGAGTAAGGGTTCCAATTTTCTCCGAAGTTCCTTCTGGATCTGAACAACTAAGCGAATTTCTTTAGTCCGTGAGTGTAATGTTTTTCTGCAATGGCGAGTGTAGCGACACTTGATTGACAATAAGCGTAATCGGATTACTAGAAAATTGGTAGGCGTTATGCAAAAACATAGGCTCTTAGAGCAGGCGCTCCCTTCCCTTTCTCCCTCCCCCCCCCCCCTCCCCTTTTTGCGCCTGCCACGCAGGCTAGCGTTACGTAAACATGACATACAGTGATTATTTCTGATTGTGTGAAAAACTATTCTATCCCTAACCTACATGTTATAGGTATGCCATTGAATGAGCAGACAGTCTCATTTTTTTTCTTACCATGCAGTCTTTGCGATCATAGGCTTGTGATCACCGAGCGTGTCTATCAAACCACGACATGTAAATAACGTGTTCTTTCTTGTTGTTTGTTGATAGATCTGTCAGCTTAGGAAATCACCTATTAAATACGTTTCGCAGTTATTCTGCAACACGCTATTATGGCTTATCATGTACAAAGAGTTTATAATTACAAGTAAAAAAGTACGAGCGAGAAAATCTTGCTACCGTTGTATCTTGCGCTTGCGACACCAATTCTTTGATATTGCACTCTCGGCGTAAGCTAGTACCCTTGTACTTACTTTACGACGATATTTACAGCGTGCGAATAATCGGAATATGGAGGACTAGTTTTAGGCGATTTTGGTACAAGTACCAAATACATGTACACGAGCACAGGTGCGCATCGGGGGTGCAACACTGCCGGCAGGCTAGGTACGTTTTAAATCTTACTTTAAGCTGTCCACCAATTGCACATAAGGCATACCTATTATCTCCAAAGTTGATTTATCTGCAATGGGTTCAAAAGCGTGGGAAGGTTGTTTGTAAGCTAGAGCTATAAAAATGTATTACACTCTATAATGCATTTCTGACTATTATCATTATTATTATTATTATTATTATTATCGTTATTATGAAATACATCATGGTGTCATTATGAAATACATCATGGTGTCAGGAGAAAGTTGCCTGCGTGCAGACGTCTCCTATTTCCTTTGTTGCACACGGAAAAGGTCCCTTTTCCGCGTGCAACAAAGGAAATGGGAGACGTCTGCACGCAGGCAAGAGCTAAAGAGGCATCAACAATCACGCAAGTGCCAAAGTGAAAATGGATAGCATTGATTCAAGCCTCTCCCCAGGCCTGCTGCGTCTGGTTTAATCAATCGAGGGACAAGGGCGCAAGTTCTTGGCTGAATGCGATGCCTCTCGCAGACAAAGGTTTAGCCCTCAACAAGCAAGAATTCAGAGACTCGCTACGCTTGCGTTATGACTTGCCCTTAGTCGATTTACCAAGTCATTGCATATGTGGGGATAAATTCACCGTTAGTCACGCCCTCTCTTGTAAAAAGGGGGGTTTGTAGCGCAGAGACATGACGGTGTACGGAACTTGTTAACGGCATTCATCGACAAGATCTGCAATAATGTCGAAATCGAACCACGCCTCCAACCCCTGGACAACGAGCGGTTTCATTTGAGGAGCGCTGTTACAAGTTCTGAGGCAAGATTGGACATCAAAGCGGGAGGTTTCTGGGCAAGAGGAGTTACGGCATTTTTTGATGTTAGAGTTACGCACGTCAACTCCAAGTGTTACCAGAGCAAGCCAACATCGGAAGTGTTCAAAGAGCAAGAAGAAGAGAAGAAGCGCAAGTACCAGCAGCGGGTGTTAGATGTAGAAATGGGTTCGTTTACGCCTTTAGTGTTTGGAACCAATGGCGGAATGGGAAACGAGTGTCAGCGGTTCGTAAAGCATCTCGCAGACAAGATAGCTCAGAAAGACACCGAGCCTTATCATGTTGTAATCACTTGGCTCAAGACACAGATCTCGTTTGAACTCTTAAGATCGGTACATGCATGCGTCAGAGGTTCGCGAACGCCGTTTCGTAGCAAGATAGAGCAATCATTAGACTGTAAAATAAATGTCGCTAGTGCGGACATCTGAAATACGTGTCTATATGCTTTTATACTTAGGGCTTTTTATGGACACTGGTTTAGCCGTCATTAGTATGATTCGATTGTATGATCTTTATAATTTTATAGAATTTTGAACTTTTATTATTGATTATATCTATTTCCTCTTCTTTTATGTAAGGTTAAGTTACTTCTATTTTTTAGAATTTGTAAATGAATAGTTTTCTTTTTCTTCACTTATTATATATAGGATTGTTTTTTGTTCTCTAATGAGGGAATTGTAGATAGTGTTTTTGATGAATTGATTAGATTTTTTGTAACAGCAGGTTGATTGTAAATAGGATTTTAATTGAGGTTTTGTAATAAAGATTCTTCAAGCCTTCTTTAAAAAATTTTTTTCTTATGAAATACAGTATTAATAACAGCGCAAACAACATTTGACCCTGGGCCCGGCCCAAGGCGGGGGTTTGTCGAGGAGGGGAGAGTTAAAGTTACCGAGATGATAAAAGTATTTCTTTTTTGTTTTGATATTTTTCATTAGGGGATTTCTTTGGCAATAGGAAAATTTGGCAAATATGTCAATATATATAGACGTTTTTTGCTACCTTGATTTAAGTAGGATTCTCAAGGGAAATTTAAAACAAGCTGACTGGTGGAGTACTGCGCCGGTACAATGCTGGCCGCGCAGTTCAGACTGTCGGATGAGAAAAGATTAATTCAGCAGATGGTACGATGAATAAAGCAACAACAAACAGTTTTCTTTCCATTTTTTGGCGTGCCATATCATTTAATCCTCCACGGAAAAATTTCACGGCGCGGAAATTACTT